CTGTTCACATGAGAAATTGTAACTTCATGCTATATTGTGGCTTTGTGTTCCAGATAATGTTCATATTTTGTTTTTGCACCAGATGAGAATCAGTTCCTTGAGAATAAATTTTTTTTATATTTCTAAAACTTCAAAAAGTTAAAATTTGGGAAATCTCTTAGACAAATAAGTGTTTTATGTGGCTGTAAAAAATGATGTACACGCTGTAAAATAAGATTGTCACTGTTCTGTGGGATTATTATTTCTAAATGTGTTACTCATCGTAACGGGCATACAATAAAATGCATCTCTTGCACTCCAGATTTTTTGGAGTTTCCTTTTCATTTATGATGTTTAGGAAAGTCTCATTCTCTGTAAACTTGCTTGGTATTTTTAATTGCATTATTCTCTAATTAATATGTAATCACATTCCAAGTAAACAGGTTACTGCAGATCTCTTTATCAGAYTGTCGAGGGGAGAACATTGGGTTTGATTTAACCCTTTAAACTTACAGGTAATGTATTTCTGTTTATYTTTCTTATTTCTAAAATAATTACCAAATATGATACTGACATTCCTTTGAATTTTTTTCCTTTAAGAGAACAAAAAACTTCTCACATATTTTGGGAAAACACAGGTAGGTTTTATCTTTTTATCTGTGTAATAGAACACTTGCAGAATGAAATGCTAAAAACATTGCTATCCTAAATTCCTTCTCTTTTTAGAATACTTGAATTACAACATCAGTAATAGATTAAAAAGTTGAAGAAGAATATCTGCTATTAAATCAACCCTTCATCGAGGACTTCTAACAGGCTTTGAGCCTCTGAACTCGCAGGTTTTGCACAAAAAACAGARAATAAGCAGACAGGAATGAATTCATCTGGGTTTTGTTGCTGCTTTTCCTTGCATGCCCAGCACTCAGAAARGAAAATCTCAGTGATTTAAAGTTGTGGATTTCTCAYAGTGTCAATGCYTTGTTCCTGAGTGTCRTATTGAATACATGAACCAAARGAGTTTCTTCATAGCAGCTGAAGAWGATCCCTGGGACTCTGCCCATRGCTGTGCTGGCTCATTTTCCACCCTAYAAATGGATCAAATAATCAGGTAATCATTCTGTATCCAAGCAGGAGGGCAGTTGCTGTTCTTGACATAAGATTTTTACTAGAAGGTGGTGTTTAAAATCTTCTGAAATGCTAGGATAGAGTGTCACCTGAATCCTCAGCAGTTTGAGGGACAGTTCCTAAATCCCTCTCGGTGCCCTTTCCCAATAAATATTTAAGAGCTGTGACAGGTCAGGGCTGCTTGAGCAAGCAGAGCCTCCCAAACGTGTGCAGGGCTTGCTCTGAAATGTCAGATTTGTTTGGTGCAACTTTTWACTGGGCTGACAGACAGGTGCAGTCAAACGTGATTCATGTCCTCATCATTATCTGTGTTTTTCTTTCCTCAGGTTTCAACTGACCACGATTAAAGGTAATAAATGAGAGAGAAAACACGGAAGAGCAGCAGCAGAGTTCTGGAGGTAAAGGTGAGTTACTGGGTGTGGGCTGGTGGCTGCTGGAGTTGTCAGGGACTTCTCAACCAGGGCTKGCTTTGGCTTTTATTTTACAGCTGAGGCAGAGAAACTTCCACATTGCAGAAAGGTCAGTCATAAAAAAACAGATGATGATTTTCTCCTTTTCAGTGCAAAACAAGACTTTGCCTTCTGGCAGATAAAGACAGGGCAGAATGTATGTTGTTGTAATTATAAAAAGTAAATACTGTCTGACTTTTTTCTAATTTGTTCCTGAAAAAAAGTCAGTCAGGGTGGACCTACCTGAAATTGAGGTGGGAAATGAGCTAAAGTAAACTGCCTATAAGTGGCATTTACTGCTGAGTAAATGAGAAAATGTGTTTCTGTAAATTCCAGCAGAAACCACCTCAGGTAAATCAGTTCCAGTTCCACAGCAAAGAAGGGACAACTGAGCCTACAGTAACAGGTACTTTATGGTAAAAAATACTACCTTTGCTTTTTAGACACATATGGTTTGAAAACAAAACCAGCCCATAAACAAATGGCCATATGCTTTATCTTACTAGTATAACTCAGCTTTTTGACAACWTTTATTTCTTTGTGTTTTCTGTGAGTACACAGTGTATTTACAGCCTCTGCTCTGTAGCATTTACAGGTTCTGGTGATTTTCAGATTCTTTGAGGAGCTGGTCCTTGCTCCCCCCAGTACAGAGAGCTGGGAGGTCTCAGCAGCAAAYTGGGCTTCTTCTAAGCAGGCTGCACAGCATTCCTGGCTGCTCCAGGATGGTGCTTCCACTCTGATGGATCAGCTGGATTTGAAAMCAGATCACTTGCCTGATGGTGGCCTTTGTCATGGAATTGTCTCACTCAGCTCCTGTTCCAGGCCCTGTCCCTCCTTAAGGGAGTTCCCTGTGCTGTGCCATGGAGTGGAGGAGACTCAGGTGATGTCACTGAGGGGCTGCTCAGGAAATCCATGGCTGAGATCATCCATCAGTAACTGTGSCCATTAATAACTCACATTTCTGCCCTTTGTAGCTTTGTCCGAGCTCTGGGAAACACCCGGCCCTGGTGGGAGCACAAGGAGCACCTGCACCCGGACACCTGCACAGGTAACTCTGATGGCATCAAACAAACATGGTGCTGTTGGTCTTTTTTGGGTTAAGATCAGCAAAGGTGGAAAATCTTTTGATGACAGTGTAACTAAAATTATTAAACTGATCCTGTCAATGGAAGGACACCTTAACTGAGTGTAGATGTACCTTACAGTCACTGYTCTGCAGCAAGGAGGGTTGCTTTAGAATCTGTTTTAGAATAATTACTGAATTCAGGGGGCAAGGCACTTCTCACTCAAATGAGGCTATTTAACTAATTAAAGCCTCTTTCTGTAAAGCCAGGCTGAAGGGATGGACCAGGCTGGTGAAACTGCAGGCCCATCTAAGCCTGGACACACTCGATAAGCAGAGCAGGAGCAGGTTTTACTCGTGGCTCCTTCCCCAGGCCTGAACAGCACAAGGGCAGCTGGACATCCAGCATTACCTGAGGGATTCCTGGCAGCAGCAGCCAGAAAAGGGACCCAACCCCAGTCCTTCACCTGGAGCAGAAAAAGACCTCACCTAACCCAGCTTCCAGCCTTACAGATGTTCCCAGGACAGACAGACAATGATGCAGAGAGTTAGACTTGGGTTTATTTCATGGTTACACGTAGCCTCCAGCATTGTTTCCCCATTAAACATGGCCTAGGATCTATGTTACCTGTGAACAGAAATACATGGCTGCAGCAGGAAAGCAAAGCAAGAACCCCAYGATAAAAGAGCACCTTAGGATTGCATCCTTCAGACTTTCCCTGTGAGTCTCTGTGCTGTGTTGCTCAGACAACTACTGAATCATAAACACCAAATCAGTTTGAAAGAATTTCTGTGGTCCTGCAAGGWGCAGAAATTGCAAGTGGCAGGTTGGTCTGATAAGAAAATTTAGTCCATGAGTTATTTTCATACAAAGTTCTTCTATATAAAAATATACCAAGTTCTTGAAAATTTGAAGCACAGCAAATAAATACTTACAGCTGGTTTGGGGCTGAAAATACATCACCTCTGAGGTCAGAAAAGTTCTCTAAAATGAGCCTTGGCCCAGCCCTTCAATGAACTGGGTCCTGCTGGCATTTGCCAGGTCAGAGCTGGGTTGGAGTTGTGTGGCCTGGTGTGAGTTCTGTGCTTTGTGTCCGAGCTTCCCAGACAGAGGCAGGTGTAAGGGAAGAAGAAGTTTCCAGTGAGGTATTTTTGAAGTTCCCTGTACAGGCTTTTCCTGGGGTTGGTGTCACCTTCAGCCCATTACTCTGCACTGAAAGCAGCCATGGGAGGGGTGGGACTGACATCAGGGTCATTCCAGCTCTGAGCAGGAAGAGACAGAACATGGCTAAAAGGATGAAGAGGAAAAGGTTTAAGGTGTCTTCCTTTTGTCTTCTAGATTGCCTCAGGACTGGCTGAAGAACAGGAATTAGTCAAGAACAGCTGAAGTCCACAGAGGGATGGCATCCCACTCTTCTGAGGGAAAAGTGAGTCCTTAATGTTTTCCCAGCCTTCCTCACTATTAGACTGAACCTTTTTTGGATGCAGAAGAGCAGAAAGTAAAGCATTTTTAGTGGTTGTGAACTCCTTGGAGCAGCTCTGAGGGCTCAGAGGTTTCTTTCATTCCTAAAAGAAACAAGCAGCATGTTAGAAGAAATACACAAACTTCTGTCTGTTAGTAAACAAAACTACCTCCTGTAAAGCATTTCATTTAATTATCCACTTGTTTTCTCTCGTAAAGTGTCCAGGGGGACCAGTGAGCCTTTTCTCTGTACCAAACACTTTACTTTTTAATTTCTCTACTGATGTTTTATTTCTTGACATTTCACTAGGCTGCAATGCACTTGGGTGAGTTTTAGGGCACAGTATAAAACTGCTCTTTGCCAGTGACCTGAACTTTTTACTTTCTTAATCCTGCTGCAGGCAAGGTCCCTGTGGGGCACATGCCAGGTGTGTTCCCTGCATCTGCACCCGGACATTTCTGCAGCCCTTACCTTACAGCCAGACTTGGCACCAGAGCCCCTGCCTGTAACAGAAATAGCTTCTGCAGCCCTGTTTTCTATTTTTACTCTGAATCACTGCTTAAAATGTCACCACTCTTCTGCATTCCTGGGTTAGTCACTGTCCTGGCTCAAGGTGAGTTTCAGGGATGTGGTGCTTGGTGTGTTTTAGCAATAGCTTGGAGTCATTAATGCTCCTAATGCCGARGAGCACAACCCTCCCAAATCCCTCCTCAGCTGAGAGCACAGCAGGACAGTCCCTGCCTACCTGCCCGGTACAGCAACACCCCGAGGCCGCTGTTAGAGCAACGCTGCTGCTTTTGTTCAGGGTAATTACGTGCCAGAGAAAGCAACAAAAGCTTTTATTTGTACCACACCCACCAATTACTGCCTGCTCACCAAAGCCAGGACAGTTCCCTGGCTGCAGTCACTCACTTTGCTTTTTTGCAGTGAGTTAAATCACCACGAGGGCATCTCTGAGCTCTCAGTTTGGGAAATGCTTTGAAGTTAAATTGAACACTTAGGGATTGCAGAGGGAACAGTCCCTCTCCAGGTAAACTCACGTGTTTCCAGATCTCTCCAGTCCTCTCGATTACAATCGTTTGGGATTTATTGACAGGTGATGTCACCTTGTAGTCATCAGACAGGAGACCCAGAATAGGATACTGATTCCTGTACCTGYAGAGAGTTGAACAGGTTGCTTAAGAGAGYCTAAACAAAGGAAATTCCAAAKAATGTGTTTTTAAGARAGGTGAATAACATATTACTTTTTAGTGATGATGGCTGTCATCCCAGGGGACTGACTACTGGATAATTTCTCATGTTTCAGTCTGAAGAGCTCCTGAGAAAASCAAAAGTAAACATTGATGTGAAGTAATGTTTTCTGAAGTATCAGTTCAATAAAGTCACAGCAAAATATTTGCAGCAATTCCTCTCAAAGAACAGTTTGAAATTCTGCCCTTCCAGAATGCAGGCAGAGGAACAGCATTCAAATAAAACAAATCCTAAGCACCGTTCCTGAGCCAGGAGAGGACAGGACTTCCTGGTGAGGTTCCACCTACACAGTACACAAAGGCCTAAATACAAAAACCCTTAGAAGTGAAATAACTTGGATTATTTTACCTCTTGCTGTTGTTTAATACAAGCCTCTTTGTCCTCCAGCAGCGATGTCAGCTCGTGCAGCCTCATCTGCAAGTCACTGTTGCTTCCTTCTCTCCTGGTTATGTCCTGCTGGAACTGGCACAGCTGTGACTGCAGAACAAGGCAGAACTCTGAGCTGTGGGGGGCTCTGGGCAGGGCCCCTCAGCACCCACCCAGGGCTCCAGGAGTAGGATTTCATTCACGCTATCATCAGTGACACCCAGGGATTGCAGAGCCACACAGTCAGTTCAGGAAGTGCTAACTGGACTGAATTCTACCCAGTATTAATTTAATGATTTTATAATTCTAAAGCTAAACMAACACTGAACCAATTGATTTGGCTTCCAGAGTTCCAGCCACTGATTTTACCACTGATTTACATGAGTGACATTTTCTACATACAGCTGGGACTGGGATTTATTTGTGTTTCCTATTGAGTGTCCTTTGACTAATTTCTTGTGTTATCAGGACACCCAAAATTTCCCTTTCGGACAGCCTGCTAATCGGATTGATCCCTAATTTCTTCATGTAAGGAACTGTTGGGGAGTTTGAAAATCCCAGTTTTATGTTCTACTATAAGGGTTTTGAGCCATTGGCAGTGCCTATGAGTAAAGTAACTGCAGAAACAAAACACCCATAAAATGCCCATGGTAGATCTCTGCTGTTGGAGCTGCAGGAGCAGCTGTCCCCACACAGCCCCCAGTGCCAGCAGAGCCCTCACCCTGAGGCTGCGGATCTCCCKGTCCTTGTCCTCCCGCAGGTTGTTGATCATCTCCACGTAGCGGCTCGAGAGCTCGTCCGTCGTGGTCTGCAGGGTTGGGCTGGAGCAGCTCTGCAGCAAAGAACCAGATTTTATTGTACAAAGAGAGTTTCCATCGTTAGCTTTCCTCCCCTGCTCTGAGTCTGGGACTGCACCCAGCCAGGCCAGTCCTCACCTGCAGCTTGAGGCTCTGGATCTCCTGCTCCAGGGCTCTCTTGCCGTACTCCAGCTCCTTCAGCTGACACTCCTTGTCACCCTCGCTGAGCCGCAGGGACATGAGCTGTTCCTCCAGGGAGCGGCATCTGGCAGTGCTGTCCCTGAGCCCTTGCTGSAACGAGCACATGGAATTGCTCAGAGGAAGAACAGAACCACAGACAGCAGGCAGCAGTTACTCACAGTCCCCAAAAGCAGCAAACTGCCCCCATTTTGGAATGACACTGAAAATATTTCTAGATTCACCTGCTGCTGACGGTTGTTCTCYCTCAGAGAAGCCAACATTGTTTCATATTCTTTCACCTGACAATCCTTAAAAGCCAAATCCTTCCTCAGCAAGACATTGTCKGTTTCCAGCTTCTGCAGGACARAARKCAAAAGTTCACAGTCAAAAGCTACWATTTTTCAGTAAACTCTTCCCATAAAGTGCACCACACTCAGTCATWAGTAAAAGGATGTTTTAGAACTGAGAAAATGCTCAACTTTCTTGGGGTTTAGATACATAGCAGACACTATGGTGCCTGTGACTTTGTGCTGAGATCCCAGACACTGCACTTCCAGGCTGTCCCAGAAACATTGAAATGGAAGCCAACAAAAAAAAACCCAACCAACCAAAAAAAAACCCAACCAACCAAAAAAAACCACCCCAAAACTAAGCCCACTGCACAGACTCTTCATTCTCTGTTCAAGTTCAAAGTCCTCCCTAAATTCTGCATTTTACAGGACAGTGCTGTGACAGAGCAGYCACAGCCTGGAATGGCAGCCTTGGACTCCTGCTGCCAGCTGGGAACAGGATGAGCCCTGGGAATGAGGAACAGGACTTACCCCCAGGTCATCCTGCAAATGGCAGAGCTCTTCCCGCAGATTCTTGAACGTGGAAAGCACAAGTCTCAGGGATTTGTCTGATGTCGCTCTCATCTGGSAGGGGAGAAATTAAAAGGATAATTGGGATTAATTAGGGAGCTTTGTTTACAATATGTCTGACAAGAAGTAGAACAGAAACTGTTTTACAGCTGACAGTAACTTCAAAGGACGTGCAATGGTTTTAGAAGTGCCCACAGTTTCTACAAGAAACAGTTTCGTTGCACTTTGTTCTGCAAATGCCTATGTTTAATTTCTGCCTTGTAACACAGGACAAYGTTGTTAAAGTGGAAGGAACAACAGTAAGGAACTGCCTTTGTACACCAATAAAGGAAAAAATAAATGTGTTCATATTACACAGTTACTGTTGAGCTTTCAAAGCTTTGCACTTACACTGATTTTTAAAAGTTACTGCCCTACCTGAAAARGCACGGAGGAATGAGTCAAGTTTGAGATCTGGCAAAGCTTTAGGCTCAAGGGTGAGGGAATTTAATTAACATTTAAAAAAAATTAAATTAAAAAAGTTCATACAACCAGCTCCTCCCTTTAAAAGGAGTAAGATCCCAAAGATGAAAGGACAGTGTGCCAGTGTGAGGCCTGGGTGTTGATGTCCATCTTCCTTGTAAGAGAATAATAACAAGCACARAATAATTCCAGTTGGAAGGGCCTGGGTAGGTCAGTGCATGGCAGTTGTGAACTCAGACCAGGCTGCTCTTTCACCACTTCTTTTCAATGGAATTTTTTTACCAGGAAGCGATTCCAAGGTGCAGCTCCTGGGTAGAATCACCCTCCCCATACCTGAGGGAGCCCAGATCAGGACACTCCTGCTGAGGCTGCCCTGGATCCTGCTCTTACACACCTGCCTGCAAAGGCAGCTCTGAGTGCTGAGCTGTGCTTTTGGCATCTGCCAGCAAACAGAACCATTCCTGTTTTGGTTCAGGTGTAAAGGATTTTGTCCTCCTGGTCTGGTTCTTCAGCTCCCTCCCCACCCCTCCCTGCCCAGCCACGGGGTTGGGCTGGGAGCAGGTGGGATTCAGGCTTTGCTTGTGTTTCTAGCACCTCCTATTTGTGTTTAGTTTTTAAAGTAAAGCCTTAATACACAACAYAGAAAGATGAAAGGTCTCTGTTCTCCTGTCAGTGCTCAAAAGACGAGACAGTTTCCAGTGAAACTGCAGGAAAACCCCCGTGAAGCTCAGTTTAAAATACCCAGGTGGACTRTGGGTCCAGCTGGCACTTCCCTTCAAGCCATCCTTCCACCCCTTTTACTCTGAAAACAATGAAATCAGGGAATACAGGTGAAGTGTGTTGTGTACCAAGCCATTCCTGTGTGCAAGCCAACTCCCACTGCTCCCAGTTCCTACAGGCTCCCAAGCTCCCATACCTGGAGGAGATAACGAATCTGCTGCTTTGTTGCCTCAGACAGTCCTTTGGGAATTAATTCTTCAATATCTTCAGTCTAAGCAAAGAAGGGAGGAAAGGGGAGACATCTTGATTAAGGATTTTGCCTGGTAGATTGTAATGTGGTTTCGTCATTAATTACACAGCTCTGCCATGAAAAACATCCTTGTAACAAGGCAAATAAGAACAAAAATAGATCAAAGTCTATCCACAAAACTTCCAAAGTCTTTTATAGGTGGGTCATGTACAAAGTGAGATGAAGTGATATATGAAGCATATATTCAAATCCTTAAATTTAACATTTATTTTAAAAGCAGTATTMAAACCAATCCTCTCTCAGGGATTAACAGCTGATGCTAAAACTCCCAGCAAAGCCTTATATTTCTGACCAGTGAATGGGCTGTCAATAACCCCCAGATGACYGACAGGAGATGCTGCCAGAATTCAGTGGCATTTGCTTCCTGCAGGGGAACCCTGGACAGRGATTTCTGCCCCATTCACCCTGAATGCCTTCAAAGGTGCAACTTCACTGGCCAGGGATTGAAGGAGCCTTTGCAAAAAACCCCATTTTGAACATACAGGGACCTGTGCAAGTCGTTTCCCAGTGAACCCATTATTGGCACAGCAGGAAAGACTTCCAAAATTTGACTGTCACACTGGAATAATGCAAATTCTGTAAGTTTCCTTTTACTATTATCACATTTGCAAATACTTGCCTGGCAGTAGGTTTCAGGCTCTGAATGTTTTTAGCAAGCAGGAACTATTAACTAACAAATAWCAGCCTCCTGCATTTCAATTGGCTTGGCTTAATTTGCTTGAACCCCCCAGTGGTGTCAGGGGACACCCGGGCCTCACCTGGCACGTGAATTCGATGTCRTGGTTCCTGCAAAACACAAAATCCAAGGATCTGTTAGCACAAAGCTGCTTGAGAACTTTCAGAATTCATGCCCACATTTACCACTAAAAGATGATCTGGACAATACAGGGCAATGAAGAGTCACTGCCTTCCCTCTGAGGTGCCAGACAGTGAGTGAGTGACCTGTTGAACACCATTCAGGAAGGAGTTCAGCAGCACAGCTCACACAGGCTGACTCTCCCCAGTTCTTTGGGCACTTATCCCAATTATGGTCAGTTAGYCCAATTGCTTTCCTAATTGCCTGGGTAATGGTTTGCCCACAACTCTGCTGCAATACACTGCCCTTCTCCAAGTGTTGACCCGGCACTCTCAGGGTGTCTGTGATGGTTAAATTCCCCTTTTCCCCTGCTACAAGACCACTTTCCTTATTCASTGACCTTGGAAAGCACCAGACAAGACTGGGAGTGACTGGGAAGGAAGGGGGGAAGGTTGTGCAGGCACTGCCTGCATGACTCTCAATTCTTCCCACAGATGGTYTGCAGGGCTCTGCAGAAAACGAGCTTAATGTTCATTGTGTAGAGACTGAGCTTTGTGCCTGCTGGTGGCTGTCCTTGAATCCATGACACCACGTCACAACAGGACAGAGGAAATTYGGACATTTGGGTTGCATCTTCAGGACACAGCAATAGAATTGTGTCATGAGATACATGTCAGAGTGTTTCCTTGGCTGACAACATTTTTACATCCTCAGTTRCTTGCCAATCAGATGAATGTGCAAAACACCCAGTCAATTCTAACTGTCAGAAAGCAAAAAAGAGCACAACCAATTGAGAACCAGCCCTGTGCCCTCAGCTGTGCAGTGCTGGATGTCTGGGACGGCAATTCCAGACCCAGTGGCAGTACCTTGTGCCGATCTTCTCCACATGCTGCAGCAAGCAGCTGTACAGGTCGTTGCTCTTGCGGTGCAGCTCCGCCAGCAGCTCCCCGAAGAAGCGACAGTCCAACTGCTCAGGGCTGTCCTGGGGGCAGCTCCCCTGGAGGAAGGAGRCAAACAGGAGATCAGAACACAGCTCCCCTCTTTGGGATGCAGCTGAACGKGAAAATGTTACAGGTAGGATGGGTTTGGTCTGGCTGCTCTTTGCAATTTGTTTACGCCTTCCTTAGTAGTGAATCTTCCGCGTCTGCTGGTTTGCAATAAATTGAACAGAAAGGAATCACTGCTTTAGAAAAATAAAAAATGGGCAAAGCCTTTCTCCCACAGCAATGCCATCACATGGCATCAGCTCTGTGGGAGCAACAGCCCAAGCAGTGTCCCAAGCTGGCAGATGGGAGTGCCAGCTCTGGAAGGCTCCACACATTGAGGTCCCCAGGSTGTTTGTGTTTGTCCAAACACAAACCAAACACCAACTGGGTGCACAGGAGGGACCTGCTGCGCTCCCTCCCCAGCTGCAGGCACAATAGGAAACTCCTTTTGTGCTTCCAGTCAATCTATGTCAGCAACTTTTGCATCAAATGGAAATATATTTGAAGCCCTCGTGGATCAGGATAGGAGGAAAGGAATCCTGAGCTGCTGTTGCTGAGGTTATAATGCAATGTGTGATTTCTCCCAACAGGCTGTGCACCCCTCAGTCTCTGTGCACARCCTGACAGATAAAACCTGATGAACTGATGGGAAAAAAACAGACGAAACTAAACAATCCAGCAAGACCGAGCTCAGTTAAACACCACGGGCTGATCTCAGTCTGTGCTCATCTCTGCGACAACGAGTAATAAACACAACACCTCAAACAGCCCCATCCCATGGGACAGAGCCTTGGACAGCTCCAGACAGACACACAGACCCTGGGCTGGTACAAGTGTGAGGCGCTGAGAGTTCCAACAGAACCCCTGCAGACTGCAGACACCCAAACATTGCTGGAGCTCTGTCCGAGCTGAGCACAAACCCGGACAAGCCTCCAGCCCAGAGCTCTGTCCATTCCGAAAACAAACCTGGATGAGCCCCCAGCCCGGAGCTCTGTCCATCCCAAGCCCCCAGCCCGGAGCTCTGTCCATTCCAAGCCCCCAGCCCAGAGCTCTGTCCATCCCAAGCCCCCAGCCCGGAGCTCTGTCCGAGCCCCCAGCCCAGAGCTCTGTCCGAGCCCCCAGCCCCCCCGAGCCCCCAGCCCGGAGCTCTGTCCATCCCAAGCCCCCAGCCCGGAGCTCTGTCTGTTTTGAGCCCCCAGCCCAGAGATCTGTCCGTTCTGAGGCCCCAGTCCGGAGCTCTGTCCATCCCAAGCCCGCAGCCCTCACCAGCTCTGTCCATCCCAAGCCCCCATCCCGGAGCTCTGTCCATCCCAAGCCTGCAGCCCAGAGCTCTGTCCATCCCAAGCCCCCAGCCCAGGGCTCTGTCCGAGCCCCCAGGCCTCACCAGCTCTGCGGGGCCCGTGCCCCTCCTGGCCGTGTGTCCCCTGCCATCATCACTGCTCGGGCCCGGGCACAGCTCACAAACGCTGCCGGTCTGGGTCTGCTGGCAGCGCTGGGACACCGGGGCGGGCGGGCACGGCGAGCACGGCTCYGGCTGGCACAGCTGGAACTGCTTCTCCTGGGGACACAGATGGAGTGGTCAGTGCTGGCATGGGGAGCTCCAGTGTCCAGTGAAATGTGTCTGTCACTGGCGAGGCTGGAGATGGGTTCGGATGTTTTAATAATCCAAATAAAATTGCCCTTATTCCTAACCCAACCTGAGTTTGCCTCGCATTTTCACACTGCAGGGTTGTAATTCACCAATTTTCCCTCCAATTTCAGTAGTGAAAAGCACAGGAGAGACCCTTTCCCCAAGGCAGATGTCCCATTACACGAAAACATTTCCTTCAAATCTATGCTCCTGATTTGTCCTAAATCTAAACATACCCCAGGCAACAAAAACAGAGGTAAAACTATGGTTTCCAGGGCTAGACTCCACAATTTTTTATTCTTTTCTTTGCAAATCAACTGTAGAAAGAAAGAAACTATTATTTATATTTTTTTTTTCCTTTTCCACTTCAGAGACTGGAAATCACAGATAATTCAGCTGTCTAAAATCCAGAGTGCCATGAAAACTTCGGCTTTAAAAAGCAAAGTAAAAAAAAAACACAGGTAGATCACTCTGAGATATGCTAAATTTCAATGTTTTCTTCCTGKTGGAAATGTTTCAGAGCAATAAAACAGAGCAGTATTTTTGCTATTGGCAAAACACCAATTGTAAGATGAAATTCCAGACAGGTTTGCCAAACATTTTTTTTTCAAGAGCAAGTGTTTTTTTCTAAAAAGTTATCTTGGTTGTTCTGTTGTGAAACAACTGCAAGAAACAAATTCACAGTCACTATTCAGACAGAGACTGACAGTATCAGAGGTACAACAGCAGTTTTCATTGTTAGTTAATAATAAATTATTAGGAAAAATATGCAAACATTCCATCTTCTGCTCTCTTTAAATATTGTTTCATTTACTTTGAGAATGTGTGCTAGATCACAACAAGGCAGTTCTCAGGCTGACAGCCACTCCCAACAAAAACAAACAAAAAACTGGAACCAGAAACATCAATTTCCTGATACCACCTCAATTTTCTTTTTGCAATAGATAATACAAACACAAACTTACTTGGAGGGGATTTAACAGCTCATATTTCCTTATTGTTTTTTCATAGATGACATTATTTCCAGGACTGAAACTGGCCCCTCTAAGGAAAGGGGATAATGGCTCCTGTAAAACACATAAATAAAAACATCAGTAAATCTTGTCAAACTCAGAATTAGTGTATTTTTGACTAAAAAGAGATCATTTAAAGACATGTGAGATGTCCTTTGGGATGTGTATATGTGAGTGTGTGTTCATTTGGAAACCAAGTGGCTGTGCTTGAATAGGGAGTATGTGAAATAAGTACAGTAGAAATAGTAATTAATCAATATTAATAAGGATGTAATTGCTGAAAGGTGGGAGCCTGACCAGCCATTCTGTGGTTTTCAATCCCTCATAATTCCACCTCTCAGCATCAGAGGTGTGAGCTGTGTGATCCCACAGTGTTTATCATCCCCAGAGGAGGCAGCTGGGGAAGGAACTGAGGCAATTCCATCCTGGACTCCCTACCTGATCCGGATTCTCAATAATGATCCTTCGAATGGTGCCCTGCAAGGAAGGAAAAAAGGTTCAGAGATTACTACATTTCAGCCTCTTCCATCTCTTCAGACAGAGCTCAGGCCTTCATGGATTCCCAAAGGAATCTCAGTATGGACACTGGCAGTAAATACACTGGGATCCGCTGGATTTTACTTAAATTCACAAATGAATGGGCTCAGGAGCTGCTCAGCAATCCACAGGGTGACACCCAGTTCATACAACTCCACAGCTGCCACCTGTGGGAATGATGCCCACATGGAGCCTCTGCACATTCCTGAATGAAAAATGAGATKTGTCTCTGAATTACAGAAATCTGTCCCTGGCAGCAGCTTTGTTTTCAAACAGATTTCTTCAGGCTTTGCCGCAGCACTGTCCACAAGCAATTGCAGACTCTGTCCTCCACCAGCTCTAACAAATCACACATCGCTTCAAATCTTCACTGACARCTCTTTAYCCAAACAAGCAGAATTCCCCCTGAATCCAATCTGAGGACTGGGCAATTTGTCAGTTTGCAGCACGCTGTTTATCCTCTTTCACAGCACAAACCTCCAATTTCCATAATGAATCATTTCTTCCCCAAACCCAGGGGGAAGTTTATGTTGCTGCAGCTCAATCTCAGACACATTCTCAGCCAGGTGAGAGCAGCTCTGAAGTAGGTCAGCTTTCCTGTCAACTGTTGCATAAATTCAGGAAGCCTGGAGCAGTTTTCCAAACCTCCCAGGAGCAAATCATAACAGCAGCAGGAAAGAGARACAAAAGTGGAAAAGAAACCGTTTTTGCAGCGAAGTAATTGAGACATTTCAACATTAAAACTGCTGCAGAAACTTAGGGAGCTGCACCCTGTGTGCCARCAGGACACAACACCGAGAAGAAACAGCACAGAGGTGGGACCCAGCCCTGCATCACTGACACCTGCAGAGCTGGAACTAAAAACTAAAATACTCAGCAAAAGAAGGCCACTGGTCCTTCCTTCACCCTGGTGTCACACAGGCACAGCCTGATCCCAGTGTCCTTGCTGGAGCTGTGACACCAGAGAGCCATGGGACAGCAGGGAGGGCTCCATCCTGAGCTGGCAGAGCAGCACAGGGACAACACACTGCCATTGTGTGACACTGAAGAACWGCTTTGGAATTCCCTGAGAAGCTGGACAAAACTGCCAGGACTAAATCACAGGGCTATTGGGTACCTAAATCACAGTTTAGAGAGGACAACACATCCAGGGTGTTCTGGAGGAATAAACCCACAACGGAGCAGTCTGGAGCATTTTAAGTTTCAACAGACCTTTACAATATTCACAAGGACAGCCTCACTGAATATGCAGTATTATACAGAAYCTAAGAATGCTTTGCCTGGACGAAATTATGCTTATTTTTGAGATACCCAAACTCTTTCATTTTCAAAGAACTACTTTACAAACACAGATTTGCCTGCTCTTTCTCCCATTCCAGCCAAGCAGGCTGGACTGGCACAGGCTGGGAGGGGACCAAGAGGCAGAAATGCAGTGTCTGTGCCAGCCTGGATTGCCCACACACAGCTCCTGTGCCACCTCCACGGCCTCTGGAGCTGTCCCCCAGCTGTGGGGACACTGCCATGGAAAGGGATCTCAGGCTATTTCCATTTTCCAGCACTCCTGAGGGGCACAGCTCAGGCTTCTCTCTCAGTGCAGTCAGCAGAATGCAGTGTTTGGAGAAGCAGGATTTTCCAGCTGGGAGAAGGAAGGGGAAGGTGGGATTCCACAGCAAAAGCCCAGTGCTTTTGTGGGTTTCAGTGGCATGACTGGGCTTGGAATTCCTAACAGCCTGACCAGTCAGTCTGGGTCTAGTCTACAGAATCAGAGAAAGGTTTGGKTTGGAAGGGACCTTAAAGTTCTTTCCAKTCYAACCCCCTGCCATGGGGKTTATAAGGAGAATTTCAAAAGGTACGACTAAAATTTCCATAAATATTTTGCTAGCTGTTAAGATCGTAAAATAAGATTTTAGAATAAGCATTTGATACACTTTACTGTGTGCCAATTTTATGCMGAAGCAATCAGCCCACTCACTTTTRTTTCAACAGGTTCCCCTTGGCTTCAGCCAAGCCAGAGATGAAGGTGAGAATTTCATCTATGTCARAGGCCTTTATCCACCACACATTGTCTTGCTAATTACAAGCAATCCAGTCATCTGATCATAATTTACGAGTTCCAGTTGGCAGGTGAAATGGGGAAATGGCAGGCTGTGTTTGAGRGCTGTTACAATACCGACCAACCCTAAAGCTGGTTAATATTACACCATTTCCATGGAAGCCTCTGCACGTCACAGAACTAAGCCTGACCCCAAAAACACCCGACTCCCTAAAATCCTCACATGGACACAGGACCCTGCAAAGCTGTCAGGGTTTTGCCCTCTGCAAACATCTTGCATGTGCCACTTCATGTATTTCATACACATAAGCCACACTGAAAGGGAATTTATTCTAAACACTTCTCATTTARATCAAGCAGAGCAAAATTTGCTGTGAATTACTCCAAGGACAAAACAAAGTTACACCAAGAAAGTAAAAAAACCCCTGAATCCTGTAACACAAAAGGATCATCCCATGTACTCTGTCCATACAACAGTTTCATATTTCCCTCCCTACAGCTTTTCTTAAAAGAACATAAACACAAGAGCACAGCCCAACCCCATGAATGAAGACCAGCACTGTATCAACAGGGATGCAGATTTCTGTTATTGTTAATCCACAAAAGCTCTGCAGAAGCAAATGAAATCTTGCTCAAGGACAGCCCTTGCTTTACCAGCAGCTCAAAGCTGAAATTGCAGCTCTGGGCTTCCAGTAACSCCAAATTCTCTACAATAAACACGGCTGTGAGTTCGGAATCGGTCCATTATTCACTTTACACAATCAGCTCAAAGGGCACCTGATCCACTCTTCGGGAATGTCCTACACCCCTCCCAGGGCTTCTCTCTGGCAACTCCCATTCAGCACTAAGTGTGCCACTTCTGCCTCCTCCCAGCTGACTTCCCTGTTTGGTACTCTTTTCTGCTTTAATAACTTCCTAATAACCGGGATTAGGCGCCTTCCTTCTCCACCACTGAAACTGCAACCCACACAGAGCCCGACTGAGCTACACCCTCTTGACTTTAAAGTCTCGTCCAGCAAAACACTTCAGCAAGAAATTAGTTTTCATCAGCAGGAYGTAATGGATTCAGTGACTACAGCAGATGTTGAAAATTAAACATCCTCCATAGAKCAGCGACAGCATTTGAGTCTGTAATCCTTGTTCACGTACTTATCTAGGCAGAGGCAGCCTGGGACTGCAGTGTTTATGCCAATGAATATTTAATTAATTAACTGCAATTCAGACTATCATCCAGCCTAGCTGAGCAGATCACTTATCTGGGAGGTGAGAGACCTGTGTTTACACTCCTGCCCTACATCTTGCAAAAGAGRATGAACAACTTGGACGCAGAGGGAATGGCTCTGCCATAACCAYCTCCTACAAAGCCATTATCATCACAGACTCGTTCAGGTCAGAAAARCCCACCAAGAACATCGAGTCCAACCATTCCCCAGCGCTGCCACAGCCACCACTCCACCATGTCCTCAARTGCCACATCCACACTTCATTAAACRCTTCCAGGGATGGTGACTCCACCACTTCCCTGGCCATTGTGTTTCAATGTCTAACCATCTGTTCCATGAAGAAAGTTTTCCTAATATCCAATCTAAACTTCCACAAATACAACTCGAGGCKGTTTCCTCTTGTCCTTCCCAGGATTTACATAAACCGTCCCGGAGAGGAAGGCAGCCCTCAAACTATGCAAACACTGCTTTGAAAGGAATTCAAATCTTGTATTGGTCTTAATCCAGGTTCTTTTTGACAGGTAAATATAACACRGGAAATACAATTCAGTAAGAGCTCATCTTGCAACAAATGTATGTTGCCGTTAGAGTAAGGCAGAGCAATCCTACGGATGTTAGCAATATTCTGCTGTATGAGGAAAAAATTGTTTGAGAATAAATTCTGATCTCCTTTTCTAGATTTGTAGTCAAATCTGCTCTTAAGATACTGGTTTCTAGTTTTAACATACCAGTTGCATGTGCTAAAATGACATTAAATTCCACCGATACTTTCAAGCCATGCCTTGAACACACACAYAACAAACCTGCCGAACTGCATTGTGAGAGCTTTCCAAGCCCAGCTCCAACCCCTAACTCAGATCTTACTAAGCACCATCGATTCAAAGAGAACTAATGAGCACAGAGGCTTCGTGTTCTATTCACACGAGCAGCAGAGCCGCGCCGGTGACATCCCATGGTGGGACGGGAGCACCAGCCTGTTGCTGTGCCGGGACAGAACCAGCAAAAACAGGGCTTTGCCTTCAAAGGACACGGTGACACCGCGCTGGGGCCGGATCAGTGACCGCATCCCTGCCCGGCACAGCCCGTTTCTCTCTTTTATACAGAGAAACACGCGGGGCGAGCGGAGGGGCCGGGGCTGTATCCATCCCAGCCCTGGGGGAGCCCGGCACGACCCTCTGAGCCTGCGAACCGCAGCTCCAGGGCTCGGGCTCCGGCTTCTCTC